TAACCTGTCAAAGGACTTACATGCTCTAAGTCCACTCGCCAAGGTGATTTGACTTCAAGCTGTCCCTTGGAAAAGTTGTGGGGAGGATGTCTCCAGTCAAATACATTTAGAAAATGCCACATAGGAGGCTTTTCTGGGACAGTCACGATGCACATCAGCAGTGCTGAGAAGTCCTTTAGTGACCAGCTTTTCTCAAGACCTTCCTGGCCTTCGTGTCCTCCACGCAAGACAACCGGCAAGCACAGTGTCCCACGAGGCAGCGGCTGGGAAACTGCCCGACACCCTGCGGGCCTGCCGGGGACCCCACGCTGCCCCCCAGGATTGTGCTTCGGGCTTCAGGAGCCCAGAGGCAAGACCCCCACTGATTCCTGGAAGGCATCTCGCCTCAGCCCCTCCCGCGCAGCCTGACAGGCCTTCTCGGAGCCATATTCCCAGACGGTATTTGTCTTGGATTCGCATCTCTCTAGCAAATGCTCCCACAAGCACACACGTGTCTGCAGGAAAAGGGGAGCCCACGGGTGAGGCCGGGCCCCACCACGGCCAGTGGAGCCCGACACGCACTGCTGCTCCTGGGAGGCCACGCCTGGGCGAGTTCCTTCCAGAGCATCACAGATGAGTTTTCTGTGGTTTCCAACACGATTCATTCATTCAAAGTTGTTTTTCCATCGAAGGCTCCACAGTGAAAAGTGCTGGGAAGCTGAATTATGACCCAACGCCAGTGCAGCTGCTGGTGCCTCCAGGGGAAGGGGGGATGGTGTCTCGGAGTTGGGGGCTCATTAACACTCACTTCTAAAATTAGCAAATCCTTTTAGCACACATTTAAAAATAGCAACCTAATGGTTTCTAAAATTAGCAGTCATTGCTCTCCATAAATATTTAGACCTCCACTAAACTCCTGGTCAGCTGCCCTAGACTAACGAGGTCAAGCAGGCTTAGCTTTTGTGCTACATTCTTTAGGATCCGTATACTTAATGGAGGTTGACCTTGACAAGCAAGGGCTGTGAGAAGCCTCAGAATGTCCTGGACCAGGGACAGCCCGTGTGGCCATCACCCAGAAGACAACCTCAGGTGGGTCTGGAAGGGTCTCAGAGGCCATTTGGAGAAGTCTGCAGCCTCCGGGCTATCTGGAGGAACCAACCATCCTGATTTGCCTAGGACTGTCCCAATTTCAATGCCAAAAGTTCCCTGTCCTGGGAAACCTCTCAGTCCCCAGCAAACCAGAATAGTTGGTCACCCTTGCCACCAAACCACTGCAGTAGAACCGAGGCCCAGTTCTGAGGTGTTTTCAGGGAAGAGGAAACATTGGTGATACCTGAGACCCCACCCCGCTCTAACCCTACCTTCAGGCCTATTGAGTTGAGAAAGACAGTGTCTGAAGGCAGAAATAAACCATGGAAAGTACTAGCCAGGCCAGGCCTAGAATTTCCATCCCCTGACGCCAGCTGTCCCGCGTGTGAAACAATGGGTTGTTGTGGGGAATGAGCTGGGCAGCCCATGCCCGTGCTGGTGCAGCGCCTGGCATAGCTCAGGCCCAGTAAATGGGCACCTTGGGTGTCATCTCTGCTTGGCGCTGGTACATCAGGTAGGTCAGGGCAGCTGCTCTGGCCCCGCACATCAGAGCGGCCTCCTCTGGGGGCCCCACCTTCTCCCAGGCTGCGGCCGCAGGACAGCAGAAACTTGGGGTGTCCCCTGTCCCAAGCCCAGTTCCTGCACAGAGTGTGCTGGCTGGGCGGAGGGAGAAGATTTCCTAAAGAAAGCAGCATTGTGACAAGCAGCACGCGGCCAATCAGCAGAACATTTGTGTGAGAAAACTGGGTCCTGAACAAATCGTTTAAAATGTCAGCGAAAACCTCCACTCCGTCTCCCCACTGCGCGTCCTGTCGGCACTGCGTGGTTTTGTTGTTACCTAGTTCTGTTCGTTCACCAGGACAGAGCCAAGGACTGCCTCCCACAATGCTAAGGCATTTAAGCCCTCTCTATATTTTTAAATCCATCTTTTTAAAAAAGATGATGGCTCCCAGTGGAAGTATCCCATGTTTGTTATAACCAAATCCTTCACAGCAATTTAGGGGATTTCTTCACAATGGGCCCAGAATTAAAGACAAGAAGACGGTGGGACTCCAAGGACAGCTGGCAGGGAGCAGCTGCCTTGCCTGGGAGGTGCCCTGCCAGCCCCGTGCTGCCCCCTGCAGGAGGGTGTGTGCTCTGAGGAGGGGTCGGTTCTGCCTACTGACTGCTTCACTGGTGTTGGACGCCAAAGTGCCTTCCTCAGCACAGCAGCTTTTCTCCCTTCAGCAGACACTTCGGGGCCATGAAGTCCGCCTCCCTCATTTTAAAAAGGGGGAAGCTGAGCCCAGAGAGGGGTCCCAAGCCACCGAGGGAGAGAGGGCGGCACTGTGCCCAGGCAGAAGACAAGAGCTAGTGGTGTCCACTTGGGTATTTCTGATCTCCTTCCCTCCCT